TTCAGCAGATATTTTCTTTTTCTGTGGGGTTCCATGTGCCCTGGATTATAAAAATGTATTTGCTTTTGCCAAGGTCCTAGAGGTTTCAATGGTTCTGCCCCAATTTACATTTTTATTTTAAGTTTTTCAGTATGTAGTTCCCATAACATGCAGTAGGATACATTTGGACTCCACATCCACATATGACACAGGCCTGGGGGGTTTATATCTCCTGGTGGCTCCAGAGAGAGCAGAAGCTCTTTCACTGCTTACATTCCAAACCCCTTTTAATGGATGAGAGAAGCTACTAAAGGCTTTACACCAAGGTTTCAGTTGTAGCTGCTCCGTCTCCAGTGCACCCGAGGCTGTGTTGCCAGTATCTGCATGAGCGTGAGACTCCCAGCGCCAAGCCCTTAGTCCCCAGGGCCTGATATCTGGAACCAATACCACGATGGGTCATTGTGGTATCCATTGCAATTACTACCCTGGCTTTAATGTTTCTTTTTGTTTCTCTAGAGATTTTACTTTTTATTTTTTTAGGCTCAGCTATAAATTTAAGTTTTTATTATACTTTATCTAGTGTTTGTAGTAGTGGGAGGAGGCACTATTTGTAACATCTTAGTGTGCTGTTGCCAGAAGAAACCATATTTTATACACATGATTTTGTCCCTGATTGATTGATTGGTTGGTTGGCTGGTATACTTTATTTATAATTAAGCATTTTTTCCTTATTACTTCTATCTTCATAAATATCCAAAGAAATTAAGTCCCCCTCAGGACCATCCAGATTATGGGGACATATAAGGCCAGGCCTCCGTAGCACGTTGGATTACTTTCCAGGTCAATTGCCCATGTAGTTTAAGTACATCACTCCCCTGGGGTCTAAAATTTCTTAACACAGTGATTTAAAACTTTCAAAAATATTAGTAGCATAATCCTTTCTTCAAATATTAATTGGAAACCCAAAATATAAAACAAATAAGAGAGGAGTTGCTCTGGTTGAAGTGGGCTTGAGAGTTTCGATCCTCACCAATTTACCCTTCCCCTTACTCCCTAAAGTGCTCTCCAAGGTGGTCCCTGGGGCATCTTCATAGACTCCTTGGGCTCCAAGTACCAGGGTGTGAAAACAAATATATATCAGTGGTTCTCAAAGTGTGATCCCAGAACCAGAAGCATGGGCATCACCTGGGAATGTGTTAGAAATGCAAATTCTCAAGCCCCTATCCCAGATCAGAAATACTGGGGTTGAAGTTGTTACAACAAGCAAATGGAAAGGACATTCTTGGGTGGGAGGGGAGAGAGGGAGGAGGGAGGGAGGTGTCAGTGATGGGCCATAATAATCTAATACATTGTATATTGACAAAATAAAAATTTACCAAAAAAAATAAAAAAAGAAATACTGGGGGCAGGACCCAGCAATCTGGGTGTTAACAAGCCCTCCAGGTGTCTCTGATACACATTAAAGCTTGAAAACTTAGAATAAAGTATCCCATTCAGGAGCTATTGGATAAAGCCTGGAGTGTTGCCCAAGATTAACATTTCTGGGTACTTTAAACCAAGCTTCTCAGGAAGGCTGTTTACCATCCATCACCATTTTCTTGTACTGGGTGAGATTATAGACATTCTTGAGGTTCAACATTGCAAATGGCCTGGGTCCCTTTGAATTTATTCAATATGTCGGAAATCACTGGAAAGAGTAAGGATTCCTATTCTTAGTTCATTAGACAGAAATAATGAAGTTCCTTTTATTTTTCTTGAAAAAACACTTGAGGTCTGAAGCTCATAAAACGATATTGAGCAAAAGAAGCCAGACACAAAAGAGTACATACTGAACAATTGCATTTATAGAAGGTATAAAAACAGGCAACACTAATCTATAGTAAAAGAAGTCAGAATAGGTGCCTTTGAGTTACAGGTAATGTTTCATAATCTGGTGCTGTTTACAGGGATGTGTTCATTTTGTAGAAATTCATCATTAAATACGATATGTGCCTTTTTCCTGTATATTTGATATACTTCGATACAAAAGTTTTAAAATAGCGCTGGGTCACCTGCAGGGGAAGGTAAGTGTGTAATGACACACTGCTGTGAGTGCTCAGAATACTCTCAAAGGACCTGGGCCTTCACTTTGGGTGTGAAATATACATTCAGAGCAAACACAGTTTCCTGGCACCAGGTCTACTGCTTTACGAGAATATGAGTTGTATGGGGCCACTCTCTTTTCTTTTGGTTGATGGCATCCCTGATCAGGATTCCCTGTGGGGAAGTGAGAAGAAGTGAGACAGGGTTACCTATGTGACCTACTGTAGGCCAGAGTCAGTTTCAGCATCTGGCTACTGTAGGAAATGGTAAGTGGAAGGGTTCTGGATTTCTAATGAGGTTAGGCCAAGAAACTGTGGGGAGGATGTATAAGGGTGACAGGGCAGTACCCTAAAGTCTAGTCCCTCATTCTGAGCTCTATGGGTAGTTAAGGCACTCAGTTGTGAGCACCCATCTTTTACCCGTGCCCTTCTGGGCCCAGATCATAAATCTATGTATGAACTAGGTCTCCCTGGCCTTGCCACCTGTGGATGTAGATGAAGTCTCAGTTAAAGAATTAGCTTAAATTTCACCAGCTCTTGCCCCCATCAGCTCACATAGAAACTCCAGCCCGTGTGTAAAATAACCCAATTGTGCCTAAAAGTAGTCACAAACCAATCTATTTTCCCCATCTCCCATGCTCTTCCTTACTTATTCTGGGCCCTATCTTTGTGTACTCTGCCCTTCCCTCCCTCTGCCCCCCATACACTGCTGCTGCTATGCCCACCACAGCAATGTTGGTGAAGGTGCCAATGGTGCTACTTCCTGATCCCCCTAAAGGCCCCAGCCATGGAGATGCCCAGACACATGCTAGACATGCTCAAACATGCCTGAATCTCAGTTTGAGCTCGAGGTTACCACATACCTGTTGAATACATGATGGCCTGGTCCTACAGTGGTGTAATCTGAAAGCAGGCCTTAGCTGTTGTTACATTTCATGGCTCAATTTTGGGGTTGGTGACTGATAAGGGCATAGGGCTGGGCTTGAATGTTGCTGAGGGACGATGGTGCTTTCCAGATAGAGGAGGTGCAAGGTTCAATCAGGAAGCGCCAGGCACAATGGCTCCCTCTGGTGGTTTGTGCCTTGCACCAGTGGAGACAGGGAGGTCAGCCTCAGCAGTCTGGAACCATTCATAGCTCTCAGTGAGTTCCTCTTAGAACTATTCCCGAGTGCAGGTTATTTAAAAGACAGTTACTGTATCAGACAAACCCAAAATGAGGAATGTTCTACTAAAAATATGAATGCCATGCAAGTCAAAGAAAGGTTGTGAAAATGTTCCAGATTAAAGGAGACTAAAGAGACATGACAACCAAACGCAATACCTCACCCTCAACCAGATCCTGTTATGGAGGGGAAAAATGCTACAAAGGACATTACCAGGTCAACAGACAAAATTGGAGTATGAATGGTAGATTAAAGTATCACATCAATGTTAAATTTTCGGAAGAAACACTGTGGTAATGTAGAGAATATGCCTATTCTTAGAAAGTGCACACTGAAGTATTTAGGCATGATGGGCCATGATGTAATTTATACTCATATGGTTCAAAAATACACATTTATGAAAGAATGCACATGTGCAAATGATAAAGCAATGGGGTAAAATGTTAATAGGTGGATCTGGGTAAAGGGTATGTGCATGTCCTCTACACTATTTTTATTTTTGTAACTTATGCGTGTTTAAAATTATTTCCAAATAAAAATTTAAAAAATTTTAAAGGACAGTTCCTGTACAAGCAGTCAGAATCTGGTGGCACATACACAACTGAACTCTTCCTGTAGCAGAGATGAGGAATGAGGATATGGCTGTTTCTTTCTAGGTAGGGCTACCAGACATCCCAAACGGTAGCCAGACACCCTGCATGAAGTTACCAAGTGGCATCTGAGGCCCCCCCACCTTGATCTCCTTTCTCCTAAAAGACCCCCAAAATATCAAGTTTTTACATTTTCTCCCAGGAAGTATGGTCCCTGAATGTTGATGAAATTTTGGTTAGGAAGGTGTATTGGTCCATTCATTCATTAATCCATCCATTCATTCAGTAAATGTTCTGAATACCTACTTACCATGTGCCAGGAACTGTGCTGCAGCCTAAGGATGCGGCCCAGAGTACAAGAAGAAACACAACTCCTGACCTAAAAAAAAGCCTATGAGCTAGTTGGAGATGCATCCACAACCACATAAGTAAATATATATTTCCAAATGAGTTGACCTCAAGGCAGACTTGGGAAGCCATGGGACGCCCAGCCTTTTATCAGAGTTTGCAGAGTCTAAGCCCCATGTATCTGACACACACTCAATTCCTCCCAGGATTTTCTAGGTAATAGCCACTTTTGTACCTGATGCTGAGGAGAGAAGGACTCATAGTTCTTACCGCATCCTGGGCCCATCCCATCTGCTTCAACTTAGCTCTCTGAAGGCTGCTCTGCCCTCTGTCAGGATTAGGGAAGGGGCCCACAAGCCACTCTAACCAATATCCCTGGGATGATATGCCAGTGAGCTTTGGAAGTCTTTCTACTAATTTATGCCTGTGGGTAAACATAGCAGCTAAGCCCATAATGCTTTTAGAAGGTAAAAACCACCAAGAACCCTCGTGTGGAAGCCTGGCAGACTACCAGCCATGAGAGTCCCATCACTGGGGTGCTCAGTCATGAAAATAACATGATTGTCTTCCAAATGGGCAGAACAATGACCTTATGGGGACAGTTGTGGTTCCCCTCCACCCTCAAATCCCAGTTGTGACACTGACTATGATGTCCCGTACACAAGGGACAATAGAAGAGTCCACTGCCTCAGGGCTCCAGGTAGACAATGTTGGGGAGGGGGTTAAGAGTGTGTGTGTGCACGTGACTGCATGTGACATGATGTGTCCTTTCTGCCCATGGGTCTCAGGTGGGACTGACCCTCTGATGCATTCTGGGGCCAGTCCAAAGAAATTTCAGATTCGGATCCAACAAACGTTTACTGAGTTCCTAGAAAGTTCCAAGTCTTTTACTTTATACTTTGACACATTTGATATCATTTAATCTTTAACAATAACCCTTAAGGTAGGAATTATCTGCATTTTACACATGAGAAAACAATCGCAAAGAGGTTCATTGATTTTCTCAAGTATATCATACAGCTTTTAAAAAAAAAAAAAAAAACACTCACACACGATACACACAGCTGAGGCCTGTCTGTGTTGGTTGCTTATCTTACAGCATTTCTTGTCTTCTCTACTTTTGGAGCGATTGCTCCCCTTAAACAAGCCCCTGTACTTCTTCTCCTTTCACTAGCCCATGTGGGCTTTTTTTTTTTTTTTTTAATACTGCATTTAATAGCACAAAAAATCACGAATACAAGGAAACTGGCAAAAGTGTTTGTCAATGAGATATCCCTGCCTCCTCCGCTTTTCTGCTTTCATACCCATGTAGGTAATGGGTTACATTTTTATAAACTTTTCTTTTTTCCCCCAAACTTATAACTGTTATATGATTGGTCAATTGAAGCTGAAACACCCATGGAGAAAGATGTTTTACGGTTACAAGGGCACACACACACCCCCACACCACCCCCCTCCCCCCCACATCTTCCCACACCACCTTTTGGAGGAATATAGGATATGTACCAGTGTCAGGATCTTCCTCACCCAAGACATTCCTGCCATTTAATTCTCCTTTAAGTGACTGCTTAGACTAGAGCCTCTTCTCCCTCCCCTTATATTTTTCTTCCAATCAGGACCTTTTGGACACTGGGTACTGTTCAGTTCTTACTCTGTCAGTCCCATGGGCCACGATCAAGTAGGTCCTTTAAATCTTGATGCCAGTTGCAGCATGGGTGTTGTCATCTTCCATTACAGGTAGGTCTGTGTGTCACTTCAGTAGGCTTGCGTATTCATTTCTTTCACTTTTTCTGTCTCATGTTCCAGGGCCTGTTTGTGATAGAACAGTAAATACCCTTCACTGTCCAGTACATCCTTAATACTGGCCTTGGTGATGACAGCATCATCACACTTGAACCACTGGTCCTTGTGGTGCCGGATGAAGCTGGTATAGTGGCCACTCTCCAAGGTTCCTTGGTGATTAACCACAGCAAACAAGGAATACTTATTCTCGTTGTTTCCACTATTGGTTGGCAGCTGCAATTGTCCATTCATTCTACTCTCTTTACTTGAAGCCATAAACGGTGTCATATCCAGCTCCAGAGGAAAGGAAATGTATGTAGTGATCTTGCGCCTCTGTTTGGCTGAGTGTTCAAACCTTTTGAAATGAAAACAGGCAACAACAGGTAATTTATTCATTGTGAGCTGTTTGGTAGATTCCTGGTAGCTTTGGCAACTACCACATTTAATTTTGGCACTGCTTCCTAAGTGCTCTGGCCTTGTATACCTCCTCAAGCAGTCTGTGAGGGTGGTGATTCCTGGTATGTGGCTTTCCCCGTTCACACCACTCTCCCTCCCGGGGCTCATGGGCCAGAAGGAGGTGCAAGAGCCAGGCAAGTCCAAACTAATGTCCCAGCATGGGTCTATCGTGGTGGAGACACCATGGCAGGCCTGACAGGTGACATCGGACTGCAGGCCACCTGTGAAGATTTGGTCTATGATGCAGTTACAGTGGTTGGGGTTGTTGGCTGCCTTCCCGACGTCATCTCCTTTGCAGTGCCTATGCAAGACATCTAATGCTGCAATGAGGAACTCATGGGCATCCTGTTGCCTGTACCCTGCTAAATGACGAGCATGTATCCACACCAGGTGCAGTAACTTATAGGGAACATGAGGAGACGGGTTTCCAGAATACAACTCCCGAAAGAGTGAAGACATCTCACAGACCAGACACAACTCGGGACTTGGCATTTCACATCGGTGCCTGTCAGAGAGGAAGAAATCTCTCAGGATGGGAGTGTGGGTAAGCGCCTGGACGATGCAGTTCATAAAGCAAGTGTTGCCAAGATTGATTAGTCCTCTCAAACCGATGGTAAAGCTGGAGGTTATTCTTCTTCTCCTTGGGTTGTGCCCCAGCAGTTCCAATTCGGGTTTCGTCGTTTCCCAGGTTGGATATTTCTCACCGAGACCTGGCACCGAACACTGCTGGTGAGAAACCTCTGTTGAGGTGGAGGCTTGCAATTTCAAAGCTTCTCCTTGCTCTTCTTTGGCAATTTGCTCAATGTCTTTGTCGTACACATAGTCCTTACACATGAAACAGTATATACCTCCATAGTAAAGGTCTACGGCTAAGTTGTGTTGTTTTGTCTCGGCGTGCTCATGGATGTGTTTCTCGGTGAAGCAGCCAAAGAAGACACAGGAAAGGCAAGAGTGGAGTCTGTTCAAATGGGTGCCACACACATGGCAGATGCACGACTTTGCCTTGCTTTTCCTAGTCTCTGGGGTTCCGCACCACACGAAGCACTGGTAGATCACGCGCAGTTCCTGCCTCCAGTTCTCTCCCACCTTAAAGCTGTTCACGTGGGAACAACCTGGTGGCCCCACGACAAAATCCACATCCAGGCACCCGCTCCCAGGGCCGCGCCGGGGCCGTGGCCGGGGCGGGGGCCGTGGGTAGGAATGACCTGCAATTTACGGGCAAGAAAACTGAAACTCAAAGAGTTAAATGTAGACACAGCTTTTAAAAAGCTGAACCAAGAGCCCACTCAGTTCTTTTGATTCCCGTCCAGGGTACTGTCTACTGCACTCCCCCAAAGGCTTCTGGGGAGGGTGTACCCTGTGCCCCATGCGGTGTTCATAGAGTACAGGCTTTGCATCCCCTTGTATAGCCCTGATCTTCCTCTGCCATACTTACCTTCATTTACGCAGGCTTCCCTCAGCACTGCGGGGTCAGGGGCCAGCAGTTGCCACGTCCAGAAACGTTTCTGAAACTGTGAAATGTCCCCTCCAGAGCTGGGTCCTGAGGAGCGCAGGCAGGACCCATGACAGGCCACCTTTTGGCGGCCGAGCCTGCCCCAGTCTCCCCTCCCAGCCCTGGTCCTGCCCTTCCCGAAAAGGATGACACTCCAACCCCATTCTGAGGCAGGCCTGGCCCCCAGATCTGGAGGGGCAGCGCTCCCAAGGCCGCTCGGCCCAAAGAGGCACGTCCCGTGCCCATCTTATTTATCTCTGCAGAGTCTGGGCCTCCTCCCCGGGCTCTCAAGGCCTCAGGTGGATTAAGGGTTTGGCAGCCAGCCTTCTGGCCCAGCAGACGCTGAACAGCCCGGGGGCCAAATCCAACTCTGCTCTTCAAGGCCGGTGGGAGGCAAAAGACCATCTCCACAGCTGGCACCTCCCCTAAAGCTGAGAGAGGGGCCTAAGCTACAGGACACAGCCCCGAGACCCCTAAGCCCTAATAGAGCCCCGGCTCAGGCAGCAGGTGGGAATAGAAAGGAAGTCTGTGGAGCTGCCAGGGGAGAGGGGGTAGGCATTGGTCTCAGGGGCCTCTGGGAACCCCTGTGCCGAGGGGCTGCTGGCACCACAGGGCCCATGAGGAGTGAGCCCAGAACAAGCGGCTGGGCTCTTGGGCATGGTTGGGGGTGTTGGGAAGCAGCTGCAGCTGCTGGTCCCACAGAGTACAGCCCAGGGCAGGCGTCAGGATGTGGGTCCAAAGGAGAAGTGGACAACTGTGCTTGAGGATCAGGCAGTGAGTGTTCTAGAAAGAGCTGGTCCCTGAGTCCTGGAGGCAGCTGGCAGTGGCCTAGTGCACACTACCCAGCTTGTGGGCTGTGCTGCCTGATTATACCCTAGCAAAGTTCTCCTTGGTTAGCACTGGGCATCACCCATCCGCCCAGCCCCTTCCTTCAGGGAGTGGACAGAGCAGGCCTCCAGGGGTTAGCAGCAAGAGTTGGTCATCAGGAGTCAGGAACACTAAAGGAGGATGCCTCCCAGTTCCCACACAGCTGAGGGTTGCCCTGTGCCTGCCCTTCCTAAGTCAGCTCTTGCTTCAATTCCTTGAAGCACCCTAGCATCCTTCCAATAAATGCCTGCCCTTTGTGGCCTACAATTAGAGGAACTGGCACACCCACTGAAGGAATCTTGCTGCTGCTAAAAGTGACTCAGGTTGGGGCCGGCCCGGTGGCGCACTGGATGGTGCGCCGCTTGGGAAGCGCGGCGGCGCTCCCGTCCGAGGGTTCGGATCCCATATACAGACCGGTTCCTGCTCACTGGCTGAGCGAGGCGCGGGAGCAACACCGAGGCTTGCGATCCCGTTGCCGGTCCCCGGTCCGGTACGGGGGCAACACTGAGGGTTGCGATCCGTTGCCGGACACGGAAAAAAGACAAAAAATAAATAAATAAATAAAAGTGACTCAGGTCATGGAGCGTGGAGGGGGGCGTGGGGTACTCCCATCTGACTTTCACCAACTAACGGACATCAAAGAGAGCTAAAGATCTCTATACCTGGACTGTCTACCACTGGACACTAGCCATGGTAATCTGCTTGCCTTACTGATCAGCTTCCAGCAGAAACCCAGAGGTTCTGCTGAACTGCCCAGGCTAACATGTTTTGGAAGTAGAGGGCTCTGCTCATTTGCACAACAAATGTTTATTCAGCACTGACCCAGAGCCCAGTGTACTAAGAGCTGCAGACAGCACTAAACCAAACAAATTTACTCCAGGGCCAGAATCAAGGCTGGCTTCCCCAAAAGGCACACTTAGGAAGTGGCTAGGTCACCAGCAGAGAAGAAGCACCAAAAATAAAATATAGAAGAAAAAAATACCAGATGCCATTTGACATTTGATTTTTTTTTTAAGTAGTCCTCATGGGAAAAATCAGAATTTTGCGGTAGTTCCTCACATTTTCGTCTCATAATTGCATGTTGTTTTTGCTTTGAATCGCATGTGGAGGGTATCACCATGATCTTCAGATGTTTAGTGCTTGTATGGGTCTGAATTCAGTACTGGGCAAATGTCACCATCTCTGCCTCACAGATACCTGACAGAACACTGGCAGAAGAGGTTGACCTTAGGAGAGACAGCTCCTCATCAGTTGATGAGGAATTAAATACAACTGTGACCACAAGGTGGCAAAAGAGTAAATGACAATTCCTCATATATATTTTTTGTATGTTTATATAAAACTATTGGTTTATATCAAAATGCTCTCTAAAAATATTTTGAAAAATGTGCTTCTTCACACCTTTTTAGGTTGACATCTAAAATTTTGCATCATAAATGTTCAACTGGCTGCAAAAATGTAATTTCTGACAAGTGTTAGCATTCAAAAATAAAACTGTTACATCACCATTTTGCATAAATCTGGTGAAATCTAAATACCTTAGAGATTTGAGAGCTACCATCATGTTTTAAAAATTTATAACCAAGCTCTTGTTTGATCATTGGAAGCAGTACATTTTTCCTTTTCTCCCTGAGTACTTAATTCCATTCTATTCTTCCAACAGAATTTTGTCCCAATTTTTTTGCACTGGAAACAATTTTATTGATTATCCTGTCATATTTATCTGCAGAAAAAATATGTACATATTTTGCTATTTAAATGCTCTTTAAGTGTTCCTGTGATCAAAAGGCTGTATTTAAATTTTGCCCTTGCTTGAGTTATTAGGACAATTAGTATTAGAATACGATGGATCAAAACATTGTAAATATATTACAAATTTTGATAGATAATTATTAAACATAAAAGAAAGCTTATTGGAGATAGAAAGGGCTTATTTGAAAAAAATTAGTGGATGTATCCATGGATAAACATTGCTTATGGCTGGAATGAGGCAGGATTCAGCATCTATTCTCTTCCTATTTTTTGTTTGGTTAAATGTTAGCACACAGAAGCCTTGTTTATACAAATAAGAAAATGGACGTGGACATTTTGTTTTAGCACTCAAAAGTCTTTGAATTCCTTTGGGAATTCCTTTGGGGGAAAATTACACAATGATTTATCTTTAGAACTATTTCTCATGATTTATCAGCTGACAACGCCATTGGGTTTTCCTTCAACTTTACTGGAAGCAAAGAATTAGAAACCGTCTGACTTGCAAAAAGATTTCATCCTCATTCATTTCTTAGAGCAGTTTGTTTGTTCACCACTGACAGCATTGTTTGGAATTGTCTCCTGGTACCCTGAGGATTTTACACTGCAGGGTAGTGCACCCAGGTAAGATTCAAGGTGGTAAAAGGTATGCTTTTCTTTTGCAAAGTGCAAAAAGGACCATTGTGAAAGGGGTGATGGAAAAAGAACCAGCTTAATTCTTTGCTCTGGCAGGTCAATTTTAAAACACTACATTTGAAATTCGAGGATATAGAAATTGATTCCCTTAAAACTCTTGTACCCCAGGGTAATGCACATTTCACTTTGGAAGTTGCTGGTTAATATGTATTATTATAAAACTAATATATACAATATTTGTGGTTTTTTGAAAAAGGTATTGAAAACGGCATGACATGAAAAGTTAAAGCCCCTATCTACACTGACAACCACACCCAGTTTTTTTGTTTTGTTTTGTTTTGTTTTTGTTTTTTGGCTGCTGACCTGCTCAGTAATCCGAACCTTGACCTTGGCATTACAAAACTGCACTCTAACCAACTGAGCAACTGGTCAGCCCACCCGGTCCTTTTTTTTTTCTTTTTTTTTTTTAAGAACATGTAATTTTATTAATATTACTTTTTACATTCTAGGATGTTGTTGCTGAGCAGTTGGGAGGGAGGGGGAAAGGGGAACGGAGAAGGAAATGGGATGGAAGAAGGAGGAAGGAGGAGGGGTGGGATTGAGGCATGTGGCACCCCCCTCATTCCCACAGGAGAGATGGGGGCGGGGCTCTTCCAGCAGTGGCTTGGCCATTGCTGGGCTGGGTGCAGATGTCAGGGGAGTGTAGCAAAAGCCCTTACCCCCCACCATTCCAGCTCAGGAACCTGGGGCCCTTCTTGCTGCCACTTGGTGGTCATTGCTGGGCTGGTTGCACATGTCAGGGGGGCGTGGCTGAGGCCTGAGACCCCCCCTCTGCCCAGAGTCAGGAGAGCCCAGGGCACTTCCTATGGTGGCTCAGTGGTCTCTGCTGGCCCCCCCAGTTCTATTCCCCTGACATTGCCACTTGTTAATAATTTCTCATTCATCCTTTGAGAAATTTTCTGTGCAAATAAAAACGTGTTTTATACATATATCCTTTTTATGAAATATAAATAAGACTGTAATATACAGAAGTTCTCTCCAAGTTGATCTACACATCCAATGAAATGACAATAAAAATTCCAGTGAGTTTTTTGGGGGAGGCTTTACAAAATGATCCTTAAATTGATATGGAAGACTCAAAGGCATTTTCCCCCTTCCTGGTTTCTTTTTCTTCCTTCCCAGAAATGAAGATTTAATGATTATAGCTCAGTAGCCATCTTGCAACGAGTCATGATGGAAAGATGAAAAACTGATCATATCTAAACCTATTCTTACATGAGAAAAAAATATCATATTTTATCATCCCTAAGAAGTACATCTATCTCTTCATCTTTCAACATTCCTGAAATCTTTGAGTGATAGTTTATGATTATATTTGGCTGCATTTTTTTTCTTTCTTGGTGGTACATAAAATACTGGTGTGTCTCAGTTGATAGTGTCTTAGAATCA